TCTTTTTCTTTTCCCTTTTATTATTTTCATTATTTTTCTGCATCTCTCTGCGCATGTATGTGTGTGCACACTTATAGTATTACCTTCAAAGTTAAATTACCTGTGTGAAGATCTGTATGCTTACATTCTAAATTATATTATAGCAGTTCTTGAACTGATTTTTATCTATACTTAATAGTAAAAGGGTGGATTAAACATGACCGTGACTTTTGTAATCAACATAGTATTTTTCTGACATCAGTTATGTGCCAAATTTCCACAGTTAGTAATAGTGTTTATTCTCAATCAGCATTGCACTTTTGTTTCTGGAGTTCATATTGCTATATTTATCACAATGAGTGAACAAGAGGTACATGTTTCAGTTGCGCAATGCATTATTATTAAGTTTTTTGGTGAATGCAAGTGTGAAACGATCAGAAATTTTGAAGCGATTGCATGGACAATTTGGTGGTAAGATCGTTTTGAATCCCCTAGTCTTCAAATGGTACAAGTTGTTTAGTGGTGGCTGTAAAAGTTTTTTCAACTTTACTCATGCTCGACATCAACAGACAAGCATTACGTTCGACAATGATTCAGAGAGTGGAAAACATTATTTGTGATTACAGACGAATAACTTTTCGAGATGTGTGTGAAACAATTTCATTATCTTATGGAAGTGTGCAAACAATCATCAAAAACCACTAACAATATTAGAAAATCTGTGTGAGGTGGGTACTGTAACTTTTGAATGCAAATCAGAAGGCTGCAAGAATGAAAGCTTCTCAAACACTTTTGGACTTTATAGTGCAGAAGGAGATTCATTTCTAAGACGTATTCTCACATGTGATGAAACTTGGGTGCACTATTACACTCCTGAAATGAAGAGCTCCATAATAGAATGGCGATCAAAACATGAATCATCGCCAATCAATGCAAAGACTCATTTGTCTGCCGATAAAGTTCTAATGACTGCCTTCTGGAATGCCAAAGGAGTGGTGTATATTGATTTCCTGCACAAACAATGAACAGTTAATGCAGCTTACTGTTGTGAGCTCTTGAGCAAGGTTAAAGATGCATACCAGTCAAAACGACATAGGAATTCAATACACAGGGTTCTCCTCCTTCATGACAATGCAAGGGCCCATAGTGCAGCTGTTTCCTAATCAATATTGAAGGAATTACAATGGATAGTGTTGGAGCATCCCCTCTATAAGCCCAGACTTGATGCCTTTGGACTAACATCTTTTCGGGCCACTTATGGATGACTTAGGTGGTGAGAAATTTTCCCCTAATGAAGAAGTGGAAGACTTAGTACGCAAATGACTATACACATGTCAACAAACCTTTTTGAGAATGGAATTATGAAACTACCAATAAGGTGGCAAAAATATGTAAATAATGGTGGAAGTTATGTAAAAATGAAGTTTTATTTATGTATATCAAAGTGAAAGCACATCCTCTTTACAATCTTAAGTGTTGTCCTTTATTTATTTATTTTTTTATTTGGATTTGATAGTATTCATCTTGTTTGACAAATTTTTAAAATTCATTAGTAGTTGTTATAAATCATGTAAAAAAATATTTTTTTGTAGGTGGAGATAAAAGTTTACTTGAGCATTTAACTGAATTAAGCAAGCGTTTGGTAAATGTAGAAAACCTCCTAAGACAGGTAGATGCTGCAACTGAACAAGCTTTAATTGCAAATGCTTTGAGTGAAGCCAATGTAACACAAGCGGAAGAAGTTGTTGAAAGAGCCCAAGAATTGTTAAAGGTTAGTGTTACTATTAATATTTGTTTATTATATTGTTGAGGGACAGTACTGAAATTATTTATGTGGATTATCTTTGGCGAGGTTTACTTTTCATCTTAAATATTTTTTTATCTTCCAGGATGCTTTAGATTATCTAGTGACAGATGGTTATGCAGGTTTAGAAAAAGCCCAAGAGCGTTCAAAACAGTTTGGCCAACAGAGTGAGCAGATGTCTGAAATTGCAAGAGAAGCTAGAGTATTAGCTGAAAAGTAACTACTGCTGTTTGTTTTTGTTTGTTTTATGTCATTCTTGAGTGTAGCGAAGTGCTTGTAAAATATTGGTAATGTATTTGAGACAGTGTGATAATGAATAGCAAAGTGAATTTAGTGAATTAAAAGTTTGCACTTTTTAAGCCAACTATACATGTTAATATTTTTCTAGACAGGAGGAAGAAGCCAAAGGTATTCAGGAATTAGCTCAGAGAGCCTTAAATAAGTCAATTGCTGCCTACGAACTGGCCAGGGAAGCTTTGGATCTTAAAAGCAACTTAAGGTAAAAGTATGAAATATCTGCAATAAGTTGTAATGGTTTGCATTTGTGTATCTTTTTAAGCATTTTTTCTAAAATTGAAATGACAGTAATGTTATAATTTTCATTTCTGTTTTTTCCTCTATTAATTCTTCAACTTCATAATTTTGATTTCAATAATAATCTGACTCTCCTGGACACTCTTGAAAGAATGCTCATTCTGCTTTATATTTAAGCATATGCAAGTTGAATTATGAGTACTGGTGGAAACTAGAGTATTTGGAAAAAATGGATAAGAAAATATTAGTGCCCATGTAATAAAAACTATTTGCTTGGCACTTAACCTTTGTGTCAATTTTAATTGTTTAATGTCATGTGGCAATGTGTTGTAAAATAATGTACATGCAATGTAAATGAATGTTTTGAAGTTTCTTTCGTTAACTATTAATTGGCTATGAAGGTCATATGTATACATCTGCCTCACTGTAAGATGTGAAGGGATACTTCTATTATTGCTCTGTGAATGTATATTGATGGTAATTGTCTACTGCTGATTAGCACGTGTTTGAGGAGTGACAAGAGCAGACGGTGCAGCAAAACACCAAGTAGACATTTCTATCGTATTTAATTTCTCAGAATCTTTTCAATGTCTCACTTTGTAACGATTGCAATGGTATTTTTTCAAATTTTTAAATTGTCAAGTTTCAGGAGAAATTAAAAAAATAGGTCAAAATCATTTTTTTAAAGAATTTAATGAATTGACATACATCAAATCAAATGGCATCTTCTGTTCTTTAATGTCGCAAAATATTAAATGTCTCTCTTAATTACAATGCGAGTTAAAAATGACTAACTTTAGTGATGCAAGAATTTTTCGAAAATTTTGAAAATTAATGTGAAGTCAGATTAATTACAGCATCTATAACTCACAAACGGCTGGACCAATTTTGTTAGATTTATCTCCGCCCCGAAGAGCAGAATAACCATTAAAATATCGGGAAAATTCACTAGATGGCGCTGAAGAACATTAATAATATTCATGTTAAATATGCCACACTCGCCAAGATTTTTTAAATCTATATCATTAAATAACTTCGAAATGAAATGTTCTAGAGCATTGAAAACTAAAATTTTGAACTTGTTATTACATTTTTGCTGGGGGGAGGAAAAAAGGAGCTTGAAATAAGGTTATGTACAATTTTTCGAAAATATTATTAGTTTGCATGTAATTTTGCGTGAAATGCAGACCATTTTTATACAATTATTTTTCCCAAAAACGGCTCCAATTTTTTCTTTTATTTTTTCCTCGTATATATAGAAGTCTGTTTGAAAATTGGTGCTAGACACATTTCTGACATTCTCTGTATTTTCGAAAATTGAAAACAAATTAACATTGCAAAACTATAATATTGAATATAGAGATTTTCTTTTCAATGAAATCTGTTCTAAAAAATCAGCTCTAAACAAAAGGTGACTGTAATTTATTGAAAAAATAACTTATTTTCACACAATATCTGCTTGAAATGCAATTTGTTTAAAAAATAATTTTCTTTAAAACAGCTTCACAAAAAAAAAAAAAAATCTCACAGATAAAGCATAGGACGCTTCAAAACTGGCACAAATTTCATTGTCGTTGAACCCTCTGTATTTACGAAAATTTGAAAAGTGAGAAATATTGCGAAAAAGTATGTGCTGTTGTTGCTCCAGTAATTTTTAAAAGTTTGAGTTTAGCCACGGCCGACTCCACATTGGACTTGTGGAGTCGGCTGTGATTTAGCTATGAGGTTGGTGGTGTAAGGATAACGTGAATGATGCGCCAAGGTTGCGCTAAGGTTGTGAGTTTGGATCCCAGAACGCAGAAAGGTTTGGTGAGTGGAAACACTTTTGCATGTTCATGTAGTATATTCCGTAGCCCTTACGAATAATGCAAGCAATCACATAAGTGATATTGTTGCTACACAAGTTTCTCTAATGAAATTGTTCTTCAAAATAAGATCTTTAATTGAAGAATAAGAATGATACCAACAAATAAGTGAATTACCAACAAAATTGGTGAAGTTAAATAATAAGTAAAATAAGGGATGGAATGCAATACTCCACACCCTGGCGCACTTTTTTCGTGATTCGCGCAATTGAAACTTTTTGCATAGCGGAAGCTCCGTAGAGAATGCCACTTCTTGAGCTTCTGCTACCATAGCTCTTGTGCATGAGCAGAGATTCAAAAATGGTGTACATTAAGGTGCTTCACGCTGTGCAAAAAACTCTAACACTTCTTCAGACGATTCAAACAAGGCAATTTAACGTTCGATCAGCTGAGTTATCGTTATCCAATCGAGAGTTTTGTTACGACTTGATTTTTTAAAATGAAGTGGCATTAGCCCAGATGGCTGATTGTCCAGATGGACTGTCACTTGGCACGCTAAAACACGTTACTAATCGTCGTAGGCATCAAGTAAATGTATATAACTGTAAAGATTTGCAAAGAAAATGCCTCAAAAGATTATGATGAAGGACATACCGCACGAAAAGGCTCAATGAAGGTGCAAAATAGCATTCCACCGAGGTAAGCGAAATGAGGGTATAACATATGGTACCAAAAGGGGTAACCCACTTAACTTATTCGAAATGACTTAATTTGCTTCATTACTTGTAAATTTAAGAGTAGGTTACAAACTTCGAACACTCTCGGTTCTATCTAAGTTTGTAATTTTTGCACGCTACTAAGGAGAAAACCTATTGTGCGTGCAAGTTTCCTTGAGTGCTCAGAGATACCTACCCCAACTCCTGTACTAACGTTAGTCGAATTGAGTGCTTTTGACAAAAATCCGGAAATGTTCGCTTCTGTGTAAAAAAATATTTTTTGTAGTAAAAAAGGAGCTACAGATTTATTTTATATTTCTTGAAGTCGAAATAACCACCCAGGGCCTGATTTGCCTACAAGCTATTTGCTTGGGGGCCCTCAACCATGAGGGGCCGCACGCTTCAAAAATAAATATCAGTTTTAATGTAATATATGTCAAATTTTATACAGAAATTATTAATTTGTACAGAAAGTACTTTTATTAATATAAGTTTTTTTTAAAAACAAAGATTAAGCTATTTTAAGGGGGGGGGCAACACTTTTGTGCATAGGGGCCCCACAGTACTTAAATCCAGCCCTGTATTTATCCCTGTATCCAACCTTCCCACTTCTCCCGCATCTAGACTTTTAATATTGCAAATACTGTATTTAGAAAACAAATAATATTGTAATTGCATACCTCTATACAGTTGTATAAACATGAAAATTTGCAAAATATGACAAAAATATGTATATTAATTGTTTTAATCATGGCATACCAAACAGAAAAATCTGAAAAAATTCCAGAAGATAGCTGATTTTTAGAACAACACTTGAGAACTTTCTCGAGCACCCAGCGGAATAAAAATCTTTCTTTAAAAAAATTCCAAAATTTTAAAATCCATTTATGTTTCAATTTTGCGGCAAATAAAAGTTTAAAAATTATGTACCAACGATGGTGTAATGGATAGCATATCGGACTGTTATCCCCTAGTTGGCAAGTTCAAACTCAATCGACGCCGTAGATTTTTAAGGACGAAAAAATCTTTCATACGCCTTCCTTTGAAGGGGAAGTAAAGCCGGTTGTCCCATGTTAGTAGATTTACTTGCATGTAAAAGATCCTCAAGCCTAAATGATGCCTCTTGAGCCAAATTCAAATCGCCCGTTTCATCGGCCAAGAAATTCCCTCTTTCTACGCAAGTTGGTGAAAGGAGCGTAGCGAAATTTGTGTGGTCACACGGAAGAGCGGGCCTGATGGCCCGAGTCTCGCCTCGTAAAATAAGGCATTAATTCACTTCAATTATTTTCGAAAATTGAGTAAATTTCACATAAAAAATCATTATTTTCCATGGAAATTAGTATGGCCAATTCAATGGAAAATAATAAAATAAAATAATACATTTTTCGTTATTACAAAGGATGTGAGGGTGGAGGAATCTAAAACATACACAAAAAGTTTCTTGGGGTCAGAATCCTTAGGAAAGATTTTCATTGATTTCCAGCAGGGGCACTTTTCACCATTTTATCCAGCTGGAGCCTATGTTTAAAAAAAAGTAAATTGGAGATATGCTCAGTCCGCAAGCTATTGGGGGGTTTGACAATATTGTCCACAGTTACAAAAAAGTTGCAGACACCTGTGTTAGTAGGATAGATGTTGCAATATTTAACCATCACCACTAATATGAAAGAATGTGCCATAGGAGCACCACTAGTTTCACTCTCACTCTTGAATTTATTAGATTCTACTACTTTTTTACTACATTTCCTTAGATTTCATATCATGACCCAAAATCATAAAAGTATGCATTAGTATAATGTTAATTTGTAGACTATTATCCTAATAAGAAAAATATTTTCAGCAATGAGATACGTTCTCTCAGATCTGATATGGATGCTGCTGGGAACACACAAAGTTCACTTAAAGCCATTGTAGAAGACACCAAAAATCAAGTTGATACTACACATGCAAACAGTGCAAATACATCTTTATTTGTATCTAGACTAACTGTTCCTGAAGTAGATGCACATTCTGCAAAGGAAGAAGCAGAAATCATAACTCAGCAGGCAAGTTTTCAAGATATCTTTAAGAAGCATAATTCTCTGGCATATTTGTGCTCATTTCCTGTGTTACCCCATATGGGCCTGGAACATCTTGGTTCCCGAGATTTATTTCTCCTTCCAACAATAAGTTTCTGACAGTTGCAATGTGTTTTATTTTTTTATAGGCAGCTCAGATAAAGAGTGATGCAGAAAAATTGCTCCAAGAATTTGAATCAGAAAAAAGAAACCTAAGTGAACAATTATTACAAGCAGATGAATTACTGCAAGCAGCAATCCAACAACAACAGAGATTAGATGAGTTATTGGCAGATGCAGATGCTGCAAATGATAAAGCTTCAGAAGCTGTTCGTTTGGGAGACAAAACATTAAAGGAGGCACAAGAAACACTAGAGACGTTACAAGGTATAAACAAATTCTTTGATAGTGTTTAACATATTACGTTTTTTTTAAATATCATTCTTGTCAACTGTATTTTTGTTTTCAATGAGAAGTGGGAATAGATGATAGATGCTTGCTCTTTTTCTAGGTTAATTAAGGTTGACTATTTTTACATCAAAGAAAAAAGTATCATGTGCCTCGTAAAGTTTAAAGATGTTCTGTCTATGTAAATGCAAAGTGTATTTGATGAATGTTTCATTGATTTCCATCTGCACAGTTTTAAAAAGTTTTGTGTCATTCATAGTTTTATTATGTTCTTTCAGAATTTGATAATCAAGTCCAGGAAAGTAAAGGACAAGCAGAAGAAGCACTACGCTTGGTACCTGAAATTGAAGAACTGATAAATGAAGCCAATGAGAAGACCAATGGTGCTCGTAGAGCTCTAGAAGGAGCTCAATTAACTGCAAAAAATGCTAGAGATATTGCTGTGAAAGCACAATCTGTATTTGCTGAACAGGCTTCACAAGTAAGTTGGAGAGTGCCAGAACATTTCAATTGTAAAATTATGAGTAATATTAACGTTACCTGCATGGAGTATATATATAATAGCATTAGTAATCTCTTCAATTTATATGAATGTCCTTGTCAATATTCAATTTTTAATAATAATATTTTAGGGGCAATAAATGTTTCTTTATGTTACATCTTTATTATAATTAAATCTTCATTACACTGACATTTCAGGAATAGACTGTTTCTCATCTTCAGATTTACAAGAATAAGTTGTACATTGCAGATACAAAAAGGAAGAAAACCAAGAGGCATGTTACAATGAATGAACCTTTCCATATTTCAGCTATTCGTTTGAGAATATCATATGGAAACAAAAAGCGATCCATGTTCTGTTAGCAATCATGATTGAGACAAAACTACCAGGAGTAGTAAGTATGGAAAGGTTAATTCATTGTGTGCCTATTGTTTTCTTTTTTTTTTATCTACAACGTGTAACTTATGGTGGTAAATGTATCCAAGGATTGAAATACATCCTTTCTTAACACATCATTGTGAAGAAGATATAATGTAATAAAGTTGTAAAATGAGGAAACATTTAGCCTTGATTGACCCTAATATCAAGAGAAAAAATTATTTTTGTAGAATTAGTAATTTGAAGCAGTGGTGGCCTAAACGATTCACTTGGATTGTGACAATAAGCCAAACTGTCTGAGGAGGATGTTAGAGCTCGTTTTCAACCCATTTTTACCCCACTCCATTAGGAACACTAAAAGAACAGCAATGTGTATGTGTGATTTCATTGAGTGGCGACACTTCCAAGATGTCTCCACTCTCAATGTATAGAGGCAAATAGTAGTAGGTATGGCCAAAAAATGGCGCTTATAATTTCCCAGATTAGAAAGTGGTATTTTTAAATAGGTCTTTTTTTGTTTTTGTTGTGGTTGTACATTTTATTTATATTTATTTCTTGTTGAAGGGTAGCGACATTTCACTTTGTCACTATGCCCAGAGCCTTACTTAAAATGCTATACTCTCCTCTCTTCATCCCCCTTTCTTCTCACCTTCCGTCACTTTCAACCTCTCTCTCATTTTCTTGTTCTCACTTACAATCTTTCAAAAAACTTTGTACATAATTATAGATGTTATATGAAAAAATAAAGTGTTATCTTAAATGACGTCTGCAAACATAAGTTGCATGTACCTATGCTTTTCAAAAATCTTACAAGGGATTTATTTATTCGTGAGGAAGAAGTTGAGTCCCAATCATAATAGCGCAAGATACATAATTCTCCAAACTGAATCTCCCTGTTAGTTTCTGGGTCATTTACAATATTAAACTTTTAAATATTTTTTTTTCAAATCATTGGCTTGGATTAAAAATGCATTCACACTGATAAAGATAACACTCTGGGTGTAAACATAACTATAAATTCTCTACAAACACAATTACCGACTGCAACAATGATAAATGGTGATGGTTTTGGTACTTACCTGCAAGTTTTTTTAGCAGATGTGTTAGTGATTAAACAACATTAATAAGAAATCATTTTGCTCTAATTATGATTCTGTTTCTTTGTTGATTACTCAGATGCTATGACAAAACTTTATCTATCTGGAATTAAAATAGCCCTTTAATCCCAACATCCAATGTAAATAAAAATGTTAAAAGTCTCATAGGCACCAAAAGAACTGTTCATACCTTGGTAGATGTTAATTCTCAATACAAAGAAAAAAGTACAAATTCACGGGACAGAATTAGAGTACATGAATGATTCAATATAGGGTAGTAGATCTATTACAGACTACTATACAACCAATGATATGTTGGACAGTTGTTTCATGATGTCAGAGTGATGCGTGGGGAAATATGTCAGGTCACACCATTACTTAGTGAGAGCAAAAATCACATTGAAAATAAAGTGCATGAAAATGAATGTCAGATCCCATAAATGCTAAATGGTATGGAATATTAATTTACTTAACAATCCATCCATCATAAATATTTTCCAGTAAAAAAAAAAAAAAGAATACATGGAAGCAAAACCACTTAATTGAGATGTAGAATATTAGTAGAAAAAATTTAAGGCTTCATTAGAAAAAGTAGCCAATGTTATGGGATTTGATTGTGGTCACATTAGGTAAGAGGATGAAATATAGAACAAAATGAGACCTGTATGTTTGGAATGAAGAGCTGTGGAACACTGTTAGTACCAGAAAGGAACAATACTTGAAATGGATAGCACTTAAGACCTCAAGTTCCCTTGAGAACTAGAAATGCAAGGATGCAAGGATGACAAAATCTCTAGTGAAAGCAAGTCATAAAGAAAGTTGTAAGAAATGTGTCTCTAAATATGTCAGTGGCAGGCTTTTTTTTTTTTTTTCCATATAAAGATATTAAATACCTAAATGGAACTGAAAAGACATGGCTAACAATAAAAAAAGAAATACTGAGCGAATTGGTTGAAGCTCTGTAAACAACTCTAGTATGTACCTCATTATAGGGAACCCATAGCACTTTCAGATATTGATAGAATTGAGTATGAAGAATTACACAAGGGATTCCCAAATTTTTTCCTCCATCGACCCGTTTTATAAAAATTGTTTGTTTTGATTCCTCTTCCATTGTCTCGATAGATAATCATAACACAAAGAATTGGACATAAATGAATAAAAGATAATTCTTTATACCAATTTCGGAAATATATCTATTAACCGACACCTATCAATCTGAGGAACTTCTTATTCTGACTGTGAGAAACTGAATTTCTACTCTTCATTGTTGTGTAATGGTTTCAAAAAGCAACCTGTTGCAATATGCAAGGACTGGCTATAATATTTCTGCAGTTCGTAATATTATGGACAATATTTTCTTCCGCTATAATGTAATTATATAGTAATGTAAATATATAATTATATTTTCTTGAATTTTCTCAACATTATTATGATTAACAATGAACGCAAAAGAAGTGTGAATTTGTAACTTATTATTTGAGGTTTTGTATTTTTATATCAGATAATAATGAAGTACCAACTTCATTAATAGCTTTTTCTAATGAAAGGTTTTGTTGTTGTTGTTGTTGTGTGTGTGTTTTTTTGTTTTTGTTTTTTGTTTTCTCCTGCAAATTGGCGATCTTGGGGCCACACAAACACGCAACCCACTGGTACTCAGTCATGTTTATCGAGGGTAAATGCACGAAACTTTTATGGGGTAAATGCATGTAACTTATATTCAGAATTTTCATACTGAATCCATTTTTGTATGAGGCGAGATGATAATGATAAAAGATGAAATGAACATTCATGAACATACAGAGACACACACTTGCACAACAATGCCCGAGGCGGGACTCGAACCCACTATCCTTCGGACCGCGACCGCCTGGGCTCGGCCACCCGGATCGACAGGAATCTTCATATTATTATTACACCAATTAGTTTGCAGTTCATGTTCAGCTGTTGACACTCAGTCAACCCCTTATCTCATCAACCCCCAAGGGGTTAACAAAGAATTATATAAATACCAGAAGAAGCAAAACCCAAATTTTTAGATATATTAAATCTCTACTGCCAACAAAGAAAAATTCCTGAAAGCTGGAAAACAGTCCTATTTCTCTCAATATTTAAAGAGTCTCAAAAACTATTCTAATTACAGGAGAATAAGCCTGCTGAATTCTTCATACAAAATAAATGCGAAAATAATTACTAAACAATTAAGAAACAATAGATTGCTTACTTCTAGACGTGCAAATAATGGAAAAGAAAAGAATAAATTCTTCCATCATATTTGGTATTTGTAGATTACAGCAAGGCATATGATGTTTTAAAAACAAACTGGAACATCGGGGACAGTGCAGGCATTCCCCAACATATTATTGAAGTTATTAGGAACACTGCTACACGAATGTAGGTAATATAAAGAAAATACAGGAGAGATCCTACTCAAAAAATATTAATAAAGGTGTTAGACAAGAGTAAATCTTACCACCCATCTTATTTAATCTTTATTTAGAAAATTGTTAGAGAATAAAAACAGAAAATTAAATTTTTAGATATTACATACAATTTCAAAGAATAAAAATTTGTTAAAAGTTTAATATTAACTGATAATTAGGTGTTTATTGCAGACAATGAGAGCAATTTTCAGATAGATCTGTCTGAATAACAATGGATAACAGCAGAGCACTTACGAAACTCAATTACACAAAACCTAGTCCATGGCTTTTTGAGCTAGCTTTTGAGGTAAGATGTAAATTGGTAATAAGTGATAAAATCATTGAACAAGTGAGTGTTTCTGGTGTGTGACATTTTTCATACAGAGGGGAAGTTGCAGTAAAGGAAAATAGAGCATTTTAATCATCTATGCAGAACAATTAAAATAACTCTAAAAATAAGGCAAGGAAAGACAACCCTTCTAAACTTTTATTTAACTTAGCTGGTTTCTAATTAAGGATAGTAAATTAGCAAGCAAATTAAGGATAGTGAATACCAGATTCCACAGCTAAATTCATGCTTCTGAAGTGAGATTTTTGAGATCATTATTAGGCTTCACGTGAGAAACCAGAAAAAAAAATAAGACATCAGAAATAAGTTAGAGATATTTATTTTCTCACAGAATGTATGGACAAGCCATGTACAGAATATGGATAATTCTAGAACACCAAAAGAAGTCTCAAAATAACACTCTAAAGGACATCTGTGTGATGAACGACTGGAAACAAGATGGAAGAATCAATGAGTGCTCAAGAGATTTATTGTCCATTTCTAGGAGAAGAGAAAAGAGACTACATCAATTTAAAGTATTAATAGGACATAATATTGGACAAATGAAACCTGGAAATAGTGATGAATTAAGCAAAGTATTCATAAAAGTCATCATTAAATCCTTCATGAATAAACATGAATGTAGATCAGAGGAAAACTGCTTACGTTGTGTTGAGGAATAGAGAGTGAGACACCAACAACAGACCAGGGGAATCAATCGTACTGTGAATAAATTTAACGAAATAAAGATCATCTGTAGCTTTCTTCGACCAACAACACTGTTGAGATGGAAGTCATGGTATAATGTCAATTACCATGACTGGTAATTCTGGTATCAACCTTATCTTAATTTAAAATGTATGAAATACAATTTCCAGATAATAATCAGAACTCCTTCACCTCTTTGATGTTTCTGCATATATCATAAGAATGCTATATAAGAAAGCACATAACACAACTGTATGTTCTCTAAGACCAACTGCTCTTTACTTGTTTAAACCATTCACTTTAAGTGGAATAGGAAGGACATCAAAATCATTCTCTTTACAGCTTTGTATGATAGTAAAGAAATGGACTAAAAAATACAAGATGTTTGATATATATTCCATAATTACATCCTATTTTGATTACTGTACAAAAGGCACTAATTTTCATTGATAAATTAATTAAACATCAGATAACTGAAATTTTGTAAACAAAATCAAAATAAATGTTTAGTCACTAATTTAAGTAAAACTGTTCAGGTGAAAACAATTACTTGATAAAGGGTTTGAATTATTTAATAAATTACCATTACAAATAATAGTGATAAAATTAAAGAATTTAAAAGAAAAATTGTAAAATATGTGAAAACAAAATTAATTGTGTAAATATTTAATATAGAAATACCTGCCATTGCAAAATGTATATGTATTTAATATTTCACAAATAGCTGAGAAGGCAATAAATATATCTATCCTTTTGATTTTACTAAAGGAAAAAGAATGATGTAAGGTGCACATTAACTATATTTTTAATTTAAAAATTGATAAGAGATCAAAATATAAGTAATGTTTAAGCTCGGCTTTCCTATGCATATTTTGAAGCTTGAATATTTTTTAAGTAATATGTTTGATTAGAGTTAGGTCACAAAAATAATTAATGCACAAAGGAAAGATACATTGTCATCTTAATACAAAATGCACAGTAGTGTGCTTCAGAACTCGTACTTTATTTTGTTGTTAATAATGAAGCAGTATAAAAATACTATTATAGATGCCTTACAGCAGATCAAATGCCTTACTTTCAGTTTGTTTATACTTACACATCATTAGATTTTCAAAGATCATATTCTAATACACTAATTTTGTTTTTAATTCTTTACAGGAAGCTGATCAAATTCGAAGGAGAGCAAATGACACTAAATTGGAAGCTGTAAGGTTAAGTGATAAAGCAGATGAATTAGCAGCTAATGTTGCACTTACTGCAGATCAAATGCAGAGTTTGGAAGAACAAGCCAAAGAAGATGAAGAACTTACTGCTCAGGTATATCTTTCCCATCTCTAAGTTTGATTAATAGCATTTTTAAAATTAATGAATATAGTTCTATTTGTTTCATATTTTAACTTTGCAATTGAATATAAATTTTGTAGATTAAAAGTATAATGTAGACTTATTCAGTCACTTGGTTTTCCTTCTCTTTTGAAACTTCTGAATTTTAAGATTTCTATGACAAACCTTCAAAATCTCTACCTCACCTAGATCTAGATTGTTAATTTTATTTCTGTTTGATACTAATATTTATCTTTTTACTCCCCTATTATTTGGTCATATAGACAAAGAAACTATTTATTGGATAATCTACAGTTTTATGTAAAACATTGAATTCAGATGTTCCGATATATTTTAATGTTAGTTACAATATGTAATAAATTTTTCAGGATGATAACTAAATTTGCAGCTCAAAATTGTAAATTATTGTTTATTCTATTATCAAGTTGTTACTACAATTACATTTAATTTGTGTTTATTCATTTTGAATTAAGATAAATATTTCGTGTATGAAATATACAGGGTAGTTCAAAATTGTCTTTGGACCCAGAAGGACCCTTTGGCTTTTGTTATCCATAATGACACCATTTCCACAAAAAAGGAATATCAAAATCATTATTGCTTTGAAGTTATCAAAAAAACGTTATGTACTAGCAATATGAAGAGTCAAACTCATGAAACATGGCCTTGTGATAAAATGCTTTGTTTTTATTAACATGTTGAAATACTGTTGACGCATGATAATGTACGCATAAGGTACAATATGTGGTACTTCAGATTTCAAGCGCACAATAATGTTAAGGCATACAGTACTATTAAGGCATATTATGCTACAGTGAACACAGCACCGTTATAAAGCTAAGCAGAAACACTTTCACAATTTCCTTTAGTTTATATGTTTAGGATTCTTTGATGTATTTTTCCAAGAAATGGCTTAATGTTTTATTTTCTGACTTCTCTCCATCAAGATGTTTCTTTTGAAAAGCTAGTGAACTGAAATCATTAGGTTTTCACAGCTCGCTGAAAAGTTAAACTATAATTGACCGATATCGCTGACCGAGACATATTTTTGATAACTTTATCCCCATGTCTCTAAACAGTTGAAATCTGTTCTTTTGACCTAAATATGTCAGAAAATATTTGACTATACACCTTTCATGAAACTGCTTACTTTTAATATTTGCTAATTAATATTTTTTTAAATGTGCAAGGATTGCATAACACAAATTTAGGCGAAAATATGTGTTAATCACAAAATAAATTTAAAAAAAAGGCAGAATAGATAATTGCTATTGATACCTCAAAGGTGTCATTTGTTAACTTTCATTTTAAAATTCTAGCTAATAACTTACGTGAATAAAGAAAGCACAGGTGCTAAATTTTGGTCTCTAATTATTATATAGTGTAGCCATTACAAGTAATGTGAGAGGGTGTGTTTTATAGCACCACTAGTTACGCACATGTTTAGGGTGCCTATAGGAATATGTGCCTAATGTGAAGTAAATGTACTGTTGTTTTAACCTCCATTTATTTTTTCTTGAAGGCTCGTCAGAAAGTTGGCCAAGCTAAAAGTAATACCGCAGAGGCAACTTGGCAAGTAAAATATGCATTGGATGAAGTAAACTTTATTATGCAAGAACTGGAAGACATGAAAGAAATAGGTAACTTGAAAACCTCAGTAACATTTAATAACTTTAATTCTCAATTTCATCAATTTTAAAAGAAATCAAACAAAGCTCTTTTTTATTATTTGAATATTATTTTCTCCCATCTGAAATTATTGAAGAAAAAGAAAAATTCTTATGAAAAATGAAATTTAATCTCTGACACTTTGTCTGTGTGTCTGTGCGCGTGAGTGTATGCATTCTTGTGGGTGTATAGATGCATGCGTTTGCAAATACATTTGTACTTGTACAGTGCTTATATGTGAAGATCGTATGCTTTTAACATAAGCTGTAACTTCTTTTAGATGTTGCTACTCTTGATGACCTAGAAAGGAGGCTTGAAGATGTTGAGATGGAGTATAAAGACGCAAATATTGATTTTCACATGTCAAGCCTCTCTTCAGAAAGAAATGCACAGGTATTAATATTTTGAGTTCTTTCTTTTGGGATGTTACGGGAGTACAAGATTCAGTGAGGTTGTTTTTGTTGTGTGTTTACTGTGGAATATTTCACTTTCATATTTCTTTACCATTATCTTCAAATAATTTTCTGAGTGAACAATAAAACTTTTGTCCTGAAAAGAAAGAAATAATGAGCCTAACACCACTTTTAGATGGTGCTCTTTATACTAACCATCAACATGCAATCTTTATCTTTGAATAATAGACAGGGCTATTATCCTAAGTCGATAATATAGTGAAATATATTGTGGATTAAGTTTACTGCATAACAATGAATTATTATTATTATTATTATTATTATTATTATTATTATTATTATTATTATAGAATCAGCATATCAAAAATTATGAAGAAGAACTTTATAAACTTCAACTGGAAGTTGACAATGTGCGAGAAATTAGTGAATCTCTGCCAGATAATTGTTGGAAAAGATTGAAGTTAGAACCATAAATGGAAAACATTCAGTGGTAGAAGGTGTGGAGACATTAAGTGTGCATTACCAGTATACTTAGTTGTACGTGCTCTAGTGCAGTTCTGTTTTATTTTAATTATGATTTTGTAAATTCATACAAGATATCAGAGAATACCATGAGAATTCTGATACCTAACTGTGAATCTACTTCACCAGAATTGTTACTGAGCCAGAAACTTTAACTATCACTGTCAAATATTTATTTGCCACTGTCAGGAGCGCGTCAATACAAATTAATTATATTTCTTCATCTTCGAAGCTCATCAAGAGGGGATCAAGTTTGCTGTATAGTGATTTTCGTAAGTTCTCTTTTTAAAAAAAATGCATGTAATTACTTTTGTGAATGGTTCACTTGGTAATTTTTATTTGCTTACAGAAAATTTCTTATTGAAATTGATATTTGAACAAATTTCATTAATACTGCAAGATGTAGATATACTTGTACAGATTTTTTGTGCCAAATAATAATAAGAGTAAATATTTGCCCATACTTTAAATAATGATAGTGCCTTTAGAATGAAGACAGACAGAATTCACAGCATATTTAAGAACAGAGACTACTATGTACAAGAATTGCATTTGTTATTATGAGTGTATGTTGGTTATCATGTGGAAATTACTGATGTTTAAACTATGTACAGTTTTACAGGTAGAACATCAAATTAATAAGAATTCTGTTGAGAACCTGTTAAAGAGAAAGTATTTTGAAGTTTTTATTCAGTATCCTAAAGCAAGATATTTAGCTTCCTGTTGGTAATACAACATTCCTAATCAGTAATTATTGTGTTGTGTAATGCTACTTATTTCTACAAGATCAGCTCCAAGTCATATTTAATTCCATTTCAAAGTAGTCTACTTTAGATCTGTGCCATACGATCATAAACTACCTAGTTTTATTAATTAATAATATGTAGTAAAATTAAGATTTAGTTTAAGGACGTGGTAGTATTGTTATTGAAAAACCCATACATACATTCATGTCAATATAGTAGGAAATTAGCAAGTATGTTAGTGTGTGGAAACGTGTGTGTATATGTGTGGGACCTATGCAATATTCTTGTATACCAAAGAAAATGTTACGCTCATAATTTCATAATGCACACAGGATATTTGTAATTTCTTAACAATATATTTTGTGTAAAATAATGTGTTCACTGCCAATTCATTGCATTGTGTGTTTTGTATCTATAAAGCTAACTTGTGTGTTTATTGTAGAGTGAAATGTGCAAACCATGAAGCAAAATGAGCCAATAATTTTTCATTAAATTTTTTTTTTTTTTGTTTTTTTTTTTATTATTTTTTTTTTATGTTCAACTTTGTATTGTACAAGATAATAAATTTTTGATTAAATTTTTAAAATCATTTACTGTCTTTAATTTTAAGCAGCATGGATTTTTGAATTGTTGGCGCTAAGATACTTTCTGACTGAACCACCTGTTTTACAGTTTGTAGAGAATTAACAGATTAAACATAATGTTTCAAAGGAAATTGAAAGATTGTGAAGTGGGAGCAGGAAGAAGGTGCGAGAAAACTGCATGTTAAGCAAAAACAAGGAGACTGTGAAAAGGGAAACAGGAAGTCAGCAAGCAAATGAACCATCAACCAAGCTGGTTTAAAAAACAAGGAATGGGTTAACCTTTTCTGATCAATATACCACTTGATGCTTTACTGATTGTATTCAACTGTATACAACAAACCTATTCAATTAAGTTGCTTGGTGAATGGTTCACGATCCACGAGCTGTATTCTGACAGCTTGGATGGATATCACTCAGTGGCAGGAAAAAGTGCTATGGAGGAATACAGTATCATTCATCCATGAAAGGGCTTTGGGTGTGGGCTGTGGGTTCATTGGTTCGGAAAAAGCTATCACCTTTTGAGCTCATCTGGGGGCAACACACATTATTTACATAAAAGTCTCATTTTCTTTATTACTTTCAATTTTTTTTAAATTACGAAAGTAAACAAAATTTTGGAACCCCTCTACCTACTACATTTTTGAAGGTGGAATTTTTTTTCTTAATGCAATCTGGTACATTGAAATGAGGGCCTCTAATAATGTAATTTATACTTTTTTTAAATTTAGTAGTTTTCACATAATTTTGAGTGAAATAGATAATTTAAAAAAAAAATTGGTAAACAATATTTCATAGAAAATGGATCTGAAATTTTTTTGGTCACAGACGGTAAGGTTTGCTAAATGAAATGTCAGTGTCCAAATGTTCATGAAAAGCTTTAGAGTTTTGATAATTCCAAAAGTTTAATTTTTTTTCAAAGTCCTTTTACACCTTTAATATTGAAGCTAGTGGTATATACCAAACATCCCAGGGGAAAATTTGATACAAACTTAAGGGAACAATAACTTATTTTAGGGCATCTGAATTCGGAAATGACAATATACGAGTTTAATAACACAATAACGTATTTACAAAGAGGACATATGGTAGCCATATTAGACGTGACGAAAATAAAGGGAAAACATTACAACACGAATTACAGGACTCGTGAGTGTACGAGATTGAAGTAAATAGTACATATTAAACGTTGGATACTCCATAGAACGTAAATACATTCATGATTTGGGACGTGGTGGATTTTAAAATATAAATTTTTATGAGACCGTGTCATATGAAGAGGCATACGACCAATGGTGATGCGTTTCACAACCGGTGTGGGCATAAGGGCAGAATAAGAGACATCTGCAAACGGGTTAAGGTCAATCATAAAATTGATTATACGATAGATAGTTAAAAGCACTGAAAACTGAGGTGATTTTTTTTCCCCAAGAACTAATTTTGTCAGACAATTTCAGTTACGGAAGGTGACGCTCCTACTTCGTGTTTAGACACTAAGGGTGACGCTCGTGTAAGAAGAAGTACAGATGATGTTCAGATTCGGAAGGAGACGTGTGTCAGGAGGTATTCAGATACGGGAGGTGACGCTTGTAGAGCTATTAAGATTTAGAAGAAAAAAATAATTTCCGGGAGTTTGAAATTATTATGTTGTAGTTAAAATTTTATGTTGTTTTTATAAGAGAAATATTTCAATTAAGATTATTTTTGGGAAGCAAGACGTTTAGATAACGCAAGTGAAAAATCTGTCGAAAAAGAAACGTCCATCCGAGGCGTTCTCGGACGCAGTCAAGTGTAAAAAGTTTATGTTAGTATTAAGGCTCCCACAGACCGGCGCGGAAGATCCGCAGCGGGCGCGGCGCAGGAAGTTCCGCGCTAGACGCGGCAGCGGATTTCGCTGGTCCCTTCACACCGGAGCATCAATTATGAGTCAGCGTTTGGTGACAGTTTTCATCCGATATAGAAGAGGTGCTCGCTTTCTATTCTTGCAGGGGATAGAAGTACGAAGTTACTCGTACGTTTTCTGAGCGCATGCGGTATGGTACAATTTACTTTCTCGTATATATGGAGCACTACGTAGTGTACAGACAGTTGTGTAATGCTACGGAAAACCGATTTCGAGATTTCAATGAAAATACATGGGTTGGGGTCCCCTGCTATCGAAAAAGTGTTTTTTTAACGTACGTCTGTGTGTACACCACTAGCTCCTAAACCATACGTACGATTTCTTCCGAAATGGATATTCCCCAGTCAATCTGACGCGACTACAGGCGCTGTGATTTTCAAAATCTTTCTTCAGAAATTGGGGGTACTGTACATTCACCCCCGCCGTACATTTTCAGTTGTTTTTTTCAAAACTGTTCCAATTGTTTTCTTTAAATGTCTTGTAAAAATAGAGTAAAATACACTTATGGTGTCATAGGTCCAATTTTCACGGTAATTGATTGTTGTTTTGGAGGGGGCGACAATTTAAATTGCTACATCAAGATATAAGAACTGAAGGTTTCCGATTGACTTCAATATTGTTCATAGGAAAAAATTATCTTCGGCGACATCGCAGTCTACAGTCTACCTGTAAGTGCCAGGGAAAACGCAGTGCAACCAAATTTACTAGTTCTTAGCGAAGGAATATATAGACTTTCCAAAGATCTTAAAAAATTAAAGAAATTAATATTTCGATTAAAATGGCATGCCCAAAAGAAAAATTGAATAGACCTAATCTAAAATGTGTAAATGCAAAATCAAAGTTCAAATGAAAGAATGTTTGAATTCAATAAATGTTGTAAATATTTGTATTGAAGAAAGGCTGATTTATTTAATAATTAGATTCCGCAAACCAATCATTTTTTGTATACAATACATTTTCAAAGAATACCCAGTCTGAACGAGACGGGTCGTCGACTTAATGATCAAGAAATCGTTGGTTTTTTTAACGACGTTTTAAACTACGCAATTGATAGCAAGGACAGTGATAGTGACGCTAGTTATGATAGAAAGGAAATGGGTATCAGTGACGGCGGAAAAGATATGGATGATGAGAGCAGAGCCGGAGCATCATCAATGTTTCATGAGAGCAGAACCATACAGCAAATTAATTTCCAAAGAAGTTCGCTAGGATGTACGGTGCTGTAATATTTTTGGTATGGGCAGACGCGAGCGAGACGCCTGGCTCTCTCCCCACCACTTTGAGCTTCCCCCTCTACTTGCGAATCCCAGCGGCCACCGAAAAATTTAGCTGTATGCCACTGGCCACAATGTTGATTTGGCACCCCCGCACTGTTCACCGCCGTTCGTCAAAAATGACGAAGCATCCCTAGCTAAACGGTCGACAAAATGAATAGCATCCGAACAGTAGCGTCCATATTTCAAAGCAATTTGTCATGCGCAAGTGCCACTCCGGTTAAACCCATGTTATACCGTGCAACGCACAGATAGAATGACTCAGGAGGCGAAACAGAAAGAGACTCCGACTTCTGACAGAAAGGTTCTGGAAGGCATTGACTAAAATCCACGGTGCAATTGCAAACACCTCTTACATTTAGCGACACTTGCCACACATACGCTCCGGTGTACTGTGACGACCGGAAGAGTGTAAGTCAAATAAACTCAAGATACGTGTAAGTCAAAAATGCGTTATCCAGATTTGCCATCGACATCCTATTCACCGCTCGTGACCGTCCTCTGCTGGCTGACTTCCAGGGCAACATTCCGCGAGGCGAACTCGTCCTTCATCAACACTGCTGCGGAAAATCATTCCGAAAGGCTACCCGCAACGCGTCATCGACGTGGGCCATATCCGACTCCGGACTCCAAGTCTCATGCAATTGCCGGAGGGTCATTTCAACGGCAAGGTACTCAGTCGTCTAAGCCGCTGCCAATTAATAATGGACTGTAATATTTTACGATGGCAGTAGGCCATAATTAGCCAATAACGCGTTCATTCAGAATTACAAGATCTGTAAATGCATGCATTTCTTAAGATCGATTTCTATTTTTTTATTACGAAACATGCGTAGTAACTTCGGCAATGGGATTGTATCAATATAAACAAATAATAATTTTAAATTAGCCTCATAGCCCGACCAAGGACCAATCGCTAGAGCCGCCTTTATTTCCGACGAAGCCAACACCATACAATGCGCCCAACCCACCCCTTATGTACTTGGCCTATGTCCCATCTTATAAAATATTATGTATGACACCGGGCATTAGCATAAAATTGGCGGCCCAACGAGGTTGAACGTACGGTCCGATGCATAAAATTGGCACACCAACGTGTTTCTTCCTAAAATAAGATTATGTATGACGCCTAGGTCATAACAATATTGACAGAAATGAAGGTATTATAATATAATGTAACCGCTACTAAGCGCGAGAAAGTGCGCGCTGTTGTAGCATCACTAGTTCCTTTAAACCTTCTCTTTGTCAAAGGACAGCAAAATATTGGTGCTGGTTCTATTTCCGGCGAACTCTGTATTTTCGAAAATTGCAAACAATTAACATTGCAAAAGAACTATACTGAAGATGGAGACATACGTCTTAAATGAAATTTATTCTCAAAACATCAGATCGTTAAAAAAAGGTCATGTACAATTTTTTGAAAAAACAAAATAAAAAACAGTAGTCTCACGCATTTTTTCTTGAAGTCCATGCAAATTGTAAAAAAGAAAAAATGTCAAAAACGGCTCCGAATGTTTCCTTTCCTTTTTACGGATAGAACAAGGAACCTAAAAGAATGGCGCAGGTCTCATTTTCGTTGAATTCCGAATTTTCGAAAATTGTAAGTTATAAATCTTTCGAGAAAGTATATGCTGTAGCACTTTGTTTTAATTTTGTATTCAAAGCAGAGGCTAATCCAGTAAACTAGTATATGTGCGGTGTAAAGGAGCTGATTCAAAATCCGAAAGCTTTTTGTTTTTTACGCACTGCATCTATA